TGATATTTATTTCTCTGGATGCAGATTGGTCCTCTTGATCTACCTATTTTCTTCCGAGCACATATATACGTGGGATGAGGACAATGCCGAGATCTCATCGCTCACCGTTCCCTTGGGAGAAAGTAGTGCCAGACTTGTGTGCGTGCATATAGTTGTACGATATTTTTGATTGCTTATTCTTTGTTGACGTCCTTTCCTAGTCTTGTATGGAATGTGGACTATCTTTGTTACGCTGTATAGGCATAATGCATTTATACACATGCAGCCTATAATGTCACGACACAAATGCCCTTACAGTCTCCAGCTGGGCGGTTATTAAAGCCCTTGATGCACAACAAATGAATAATCATAAATGGGCCATCAACCGAAATACATTTTTGAGATGGTGTTAATGCCCGTGAATCGTGACCTCCAAAGAGCTCCTTATATGAAGGTCGAGTTTGTTAATGATATCTATCAACAACATGCCGTGCTTATATCTCAACGTTCCAAAAGATACCTCCAACCCCCCACCGCTGCTACTAAATAGACAATAATCACCAAATAGATATTTAGTCAACCACCCCACTTACACTACACTTTTAAATCTGGGCCTCAGGTGTGCTCTGCAGAAATCCAGCCAGATTTCCTTGCGTTAAATAAAATAAGTATCAACAGTCAGGCTCTGCACCAAAACATATTTCTGTAATACGAGTCCAACCCAGTCAGATGATTAGATTCAATTTAACGATTGGCATGTATTATTTGAATACCCCCACACGTGTCAGCTGCTCGAGCCAGAGCAAAGTTTTCTTCATGTCTCTTCTTTCAACACACCTCTCAGCGTCTTCACACTCTTATCACTGTCTGTGTCCAGTGTCAAGTTCAATGACCCTCCATGTTGAATTTTTCGTTAACATAGCATTTACAATAAACCATTCAAGCACTTACATGGAAGTGCGTTGTGCTCTTTTATTGTTTGTATTCTCCGCACCTAAAACAACACATATACATCTAGCTAGGTTTCACAGCGTACCACAACCTATGACATATTTCATCCAGCCTAAGACCTTAACTCATTACAAGCGAACCCGCAATTGTTGTACCCCCAGTACACCATTACCACGACGCACTTTTATAACTTTTAGAATGTCTATTCCAGTTCTGCTTTTTTGATGTTGTCATGTATATGTTATCAGCGAAATAAACTCTTAATTAAACATAAAAATGAATTAAAAAGTCTGTCACCCGTTCATGTATAATACTAAAACAAACATAGACACAGGCGAGAGTAAATAAGTCATTAAGTACATTTCCCCCTGGATAAACGTAATTCTCTCCCCCTGGGATTTTACAGTATTTCCCTCTGGCGGATTCTTGGGAAAGTATGCGTTATGATTCTTAGCTTCTGATTCTGATATAGCCTACCTGTAGCCTTCTTTTTTATAGCATCGTACCTCATCTCAGAAAACTCAGTGATGCTATCAAATACTTTCTCTGCTCATGCAGACCAGCTCTGTTGTTATCGTGCTTAAATCATTATTCATTTGTTTTATATTTGTTAACTGCTTACCTTTACTTATATGAACACCCTAACTCAGCGAAATATTATGGTAAAATTAACAATTTTGTGTCCTACATTCCAATAGTGCTTATAATCCTAAGAAGACCCAGGAGATCCAACTGAATAATGATTCTGTCTACCATACTGAAACCCAATACATTCTATATATGGTATACCATTTGACTGTTAGTTCAAGATTTACTAGAAGGTCTGATTAACTGGGCCCCCATCTAACTGTTAATATAACATGGTGGGGTGGGGGCATCCTGGTTTGGGGGGCAGGCGGCAGCCGTCGGTGGTGTTGGCGGTCCGTTGGCGAGCGGGGGGGGGCGGCGCGTCGCATGTACAAAAAGGTAAAATTGGCTATGATTACCAAAGAGGCGGGTGAAAAACTACGTAAAATAATAGAGTCTTTATAACGCTCAAAATGTGCTTAAAACAAGAAAGATTTTGCTGAGAAAACAAGCTGAGATATTCTTTATCTGAATAACATTTGTATTAGCCAGTTCAACGAATAAACATAACTAACGACCACCTTCTATTCTCAAACTGTTTTGGTACCTTCCCCCCCACTTCATCTCCCAACTGTAGCGTCCACGCAGAGATAAAACATCACTGTTCTAATACTATTTTTCTATGGCTGCTTCCAAAATGGTATAAAATCGTGTAAGGATTTTTAATTTGCATTAAAAGTACAATTCTGCGTGCACCAGCGTGGTTTTAACGACTCTTAGTACTTATGACGCTCCACACAGAGGTGCGCCAGCAGATAGGGGTCTTGCGGCCACGTCTATGACAGCCTGTTGGCTCTGTGGCGTCTTTCTCTCAGGGTGAGTGACTGGTGTTGCAGGCGGAGCAGGGGGACTCTGAGAACCCTCAGCTATCTCAAGGCATGGGACACACTTATGTCTGGGGCTAGCCTTCTCTTCCACTAGCAGCTGGCAAAGACAGACAGGATACCCTACACTGCAAAAACCACTGCCACCCATGCAATGCACCCAGGTAAACTTCAATATAGAAAAACAAAATATATTTCTAGCATCTTGAAATATCTAACAGCACGTTAGGTACACGATACAAAAAGCTGGTAAAAATTGTTATCAAACTGAGTTTAACATTAGAAAACCATGTGTTTCTTGGTGGTCATCGACCTTAAACCAATCAAATAGCTTTATTCACTATGCTTCTCTATTTATGAGACACCAAAACCTTGTAATTTCCAACTTATTCTCGCTCACGTCATTTACGTTCTCCAGGTATGCTTTCTGCGCCTCAAAGGCGAAACTTAATACCCACGCCCCGACGGTACTGCCTTTCTCTGGCTGACGTCTATGATGTCTCTGGCCACATTCTCGCTGCACGTAGGCGCGGCTCGGCTGCTTCCGCCGCCGCGCGGGGTATAACTCGGATCCGCAGCACCTCATGTCACGTCGTAGCGCTCATTCTTGCGAGAACCACCCCTCTTCCTCGTTGACGGCCTCAACACTCTGCTCCCGACTCTTCCATATCACCCTGCCTCATGCGCGCTCTCACGTATGAATACCATCGAAGTATTACTCTCTGTATTATCTTTCCCCCCGCGCCGCTCAGCATGCGTTTCATCCTGCGCTTGTCACAATGTTAATATTTTATACCTTCTATCCCTGGGATAATCATTTCTCTTTTACTCTTTTAGATCCAGCCCTGCTCTGCTGTGCCATTGTCTCCGCCCTGATAAAACCAAGTACCCATCGGCCCCCAACATACCCACGTGGACTCTGCCGACCAGCAGCCCAGAGCCTGGCCAGGTCTGGTCAAGACCTCTTGGTTGGACTTGGTTGGCTGAGAGGCGCTCAGGATGGAGAGGGTGGAGTGATTACCCCAATCAATGGTACCCTGCGCCATGAGCATTCACAGAACACCGCCCAGCTGCTGGGCATTTGTCTGGAATACTCGGCTACCGTCATTTCTTCCAGACAAGATCCACCAGAAACAAGTACAAACAATCCTCGTCATCAAAGAGCTTCCTCTCTACACGGCGTGACATTGTCACTTCTCCTCTCCCACACCTCGTCATTGCTAACATACTAATACATGAGATGTCCGCTCCAAACCTTGACTGGGTGACCAGCTGGATAGGACTGAGGCCTGGATCTTCTCTTCACGCTGGATAAGGTTCACTCCATTTTCGTCGCTCACACGGCTCAACGTCAGTGGAGAATGAGCAGACGATGTCATTTTCTCTGGATGTGAAGTCACTAAACCTCATCCCAGCAATAAGATGGTTTTAACCACACCGTGTTTTGGGAGACAATACCTAAGCTTGTAAGTTTACAGTCAACAGTCCATGAGCAGAGGAAATCCACGAGAGACGCAGTGTACTGGCAGGCATGCGTCTGATTGGAGTGCAACCCCACACTAAACTGATTGTCCCATCATGCGGCCTATCGTCTTCTAACAATGTCTAGTAAAGGAGTGTATGCCCTGTGGCCCCGATTCTGCACTTCATCTCACATTCCCCGTCCAGCATGATAACCAGGAAGCGTGCACGCGTTGCATCCCTTTACTGGTCATGAAGCTGACAAGACTAAAATCCACCCTTTGTGTATATTGAGCTCATGTGTCAACACAAGAATAGTTCTAGATAATGTCTGCAATGGTTTCCCGCGTGCGAAATGAAACTTGTTCCATCTGTCATTCATGCCTGTTCCGACCTAACGACCTACAAACATGTATTGATGTCGAATCCCTTATGTTCAACTGCATATCTCTCTCTCTTTACCCCGCCACCCAAACAGATTAAATTTCAAAACAAAGAAGGCGATGAGGTTTACCCTTCCAATGAGTATCGGACGACCCCACCCGGCACAAGTATGAAATTATAACACTGCAACGCCCAACAGAAAATGGCATTGTGATAATTCTGTCCAGCAGTTGTCTTTATGCATGCATCTTTACCTGAAGACAACAGCTGAATCTGCAAATAGAGTCTTTAATTTGGCACGAACTCACAACAGGTACCACATCACTCGTGATCATGTACTGATTGATAATCCCTCCTCGATTCGCAGATCTATCGCTCCACTCTCTTACCTGCATAACTAAACACTACCACTCCCCATCATATTACACCATAATCCTTGCACACCCCCAAAACCCATCACCGCCCCCCATACTCATTAGATAGGATCATGCCGGGGAACGGGTTCACCTGAGGTCCCTGCATACGCACACGCCACAACTTCACTTCTCAACAACAACCAAACAAACCACACACCGGCACAGTCGAAAGTTATCAATCATTCACATCACTCAACAACACCACAAATGATACACAAGAACTACATCACTGAAATACACAACACCATCATAGCAAATAAAACAACATAACAACAAAAACAAAACTTAAGAACACAAGACAAAAAGTTGAGGCAAAAGACAAAACTAAACATCAACCCTTACATATACACACTCACAAAAACAACAACATAGGATATTAACACTGCCCGAGAGAATTGACATATGTAGGGGGAGATTCTATCATTGAGAAATCAAAGACACAGAAAGTCATTCTGCATAAGGAACACATGCACATGGACACAAAACAACAAAACACCTATGTACGAGCAAACCAACCTGAGACTGGAACATAACATCAACACACACTCATACAGACACACACATACCTGGCCGCAATCTATAATATAATCTGCAACTAGCCGACACACACCCGCATTTGGCAATCAACAATTTTGACATGACACAATAGAGATACATAAGAGACAAAAAATGCATAATAACATATACAACAAAGAGACACACATTCAGTACAATAACAATAATATACGCATATTGGCGCTCCAACAACACAAATCAGACATCAATAACACACACACACACACACAATACAAAACATATCATACACAAAACCAGAAACATATATGATATACGACATGACAAACAAATAAAGACATAGAAAATTGGAATACACACACACCCAACATAACGACGCACTGAACGACCATAACATCATATATGTTAAATATATTACACAGGAACACACGAGCCAACAGGACAGAGATGAATAGACACCAAAATAGAGCGAAGCACTCTCGCTCCGCGCACTGCAGGACCACATCCGACCGGGCGAAACACCATCAGAAAAAACAACCAAACACAACAAGACAACAGACACAAACAAGCGACAATGAGCAAAGACGCAAACACCCGCCCTCTCCTGCTTACCAGCGCCGCGCCTTTGATCACCTCTGCGCCAGGCTCGACTCCTCTCCGCCAGCGCCGCCAGTACCCTCGCTGCGTCATCTCTCTTCTCATGCTCCTTGCTCTCGTGCACCCGCTCATCCTTTCTCTCTCTCATTACACGCGCATACCTCGACACTCTACACAGCGTTCACCTTCGCTCTCGCCGTGTTGTCCCTTGTTCGCTCCTCTGCCTTGAACGTTCACTCGCTTCCACGCGCGCTTCTCTCTTTGACTACATACATTGTCCCACTCTAATGATAAACATATATCACCACATATCATCAAGCACAACAAATATAACACACATTTGATTCATTTGAAACTTAATAATACACACACACAAACAATAATACCTTCATATATTATGAATACAACCACTCTATAACACACTCTGCGAGAGATACACAAAATAATGCAAAACACAGATACAGCATTTAATTCATTTTCATAGAGAGCTTGCAGTTCATGAGGAATATAAAATCTACCACTGACACAAAGACTGCAATATAGACATCTACTATGAGAAATTTAAAAAATAAATAATTTACACTTATAATAATGGGGATATTAGGAAATGAATAAGTCTAAACAGGAACTCATATCTTAACTCTCACTTCTATGAATCGAACCAAACCAGTCTCTACATATAATACACTACATCAATAACCTCTTTACCAAAATCATCTATTACAATCTCCATACACTTGCATCTACACTATTCATCACACTTACAAGTCTCGACACGCAGGTAGTTTACTGTTGTGATTCCGAGCTCGCCACACCATACATACACACCCAACACTTAAATTTGGCACATCTATAAGACATTATAGAATCTCAGATCAGCAACAAATACATATAACCAAACACTAGAGAACCACACCAAAATACAATAGAAAATCCTGTCCTGCGCTGCCAGCTACTTATCGCATTTACATACACCTGCCCTCTCTTCCCCTCACCAACCTCTTTCCTTTTTCTCTCTTTCATCATTCTTTTCACTTGCGCTCTAATCAGTACAAATAGCCTATCATCAACACTCTTCTGTAGTCGTATTCGTTGGGCACGCTTCGCACCGAGCACACATTTTTTCACCCTCTCTCTCCCACTCCTCCTCTCTTTCTGCTCCTCCGTTCAACCGCTCTCTTAGTCTTTCTCGCCTCTCACCTTCTATACAACGCCTCCAACGCGGCCACCTCTCTCGTTCACCCGCCCCTCCCTCACTCCAGCCTCGACAGAATCACTCTTCGCCGCACCAGCCACTCACCCCTTTATAAGCACTTGTCACAGATCCACGCCTAGCGCCATACTGTAGCTTCTCACTCTTCCCCGCTCCAGTCACACATCCTCCCTCGGCGTCCTCTTCTGCTCTCTGCTTGCTTTTTTTCTGCACCTCTCTTCACTTTCCAACACCTGGCTTCCATCGCTCGTGACACTTCTCCCTTCTGATCCTCTCTCGCGCCCTCCGTGTTTTCTCGGGCTCAACCCGGCTCATCGCGCACTCACCATCGACCCATCACTGGTCGCTCGGACAAGATCCAGGCTCCAGCTGCTACCTGGCTCACCACTCACGGTGTGGCGAGTTCCTTCTACGCTCTACCACCGACCGGCACGAGTGACCCTCACCCTCAGAAGAGGAGCTGTTGAATAAATGTCAATGGATTTTTTGTATTTTCTGGTGGAGTCTGTCCTGAAGAGAAGAGTACACGAGTATTCAGACAAATGCCCAGTCAGCTGGCGGTTGTTGTCTGTGATGAGTGGCCATGCACCCAATGATATTGCGATATCGCCATCAATAACATAAGAGACATTGACTGTTCTAGATAGCATGCGCGACACAAAGGTCCAACCAAAGTGCGATAGGAGACGAGCGAGGAGAGCACAAGGGCTACTGCATCAGGATACTAGCTCACGAGGTAAATGTTAAATCATGAGGAAAGGGATGAGAGAGATACTTTGTATGTAGTCACATATATGAGACACGCACACCAACATACAGGGCGAATCTAAAGTTCAACGAACCGGACAAAACCCGGCGCGGCGGGCGGCCCCACGAGAGGAAAACCCCTGATATCCCAGAGATGAAGGATATAACCCTGGAAGACATTTACCACACCACATTAAACCCACATTGATCTTTAACCCAGTTTTGTCTGACTAGCTCGCAAGAATACAGAATAATGGACTTATTTGGGTGAGATTAGGACGGATGTTGTGATTTTTACCAGTTTACCCCCATGGGATATGAAGAGGTGTCCGACTGCACAGTGAAGCTATACGCCCTGCAAGGCGAGAAGAGGGTCTCTTCCATAATAGCCCCTCGCACTTGCAGGGTCCTCGTACATGAGCCTCAGAGGGTCCCAGATACCCCTTCATCGGTACTCATTAGCCAAGGGCCAGGTGGGACCTCACACTTCTAGCAAGTGCAGCCACAGACGTTCATGAGGAGTCTTATAGCGCCACACGACGACAGACTGCCAGGCAGTAGGTCTGTGCGTCTATCCTAACTCTCCCTCCTCATGCCGCAAAACAGCCAGCATGAGCCTGCGCCATAACCTGGAAAGCCTCCTGCACGTTTGAAGAGTGTCGCACTGTCCCCGGCAGGTGTGAGCCAGTAGGGTTGACCATCTAACAGTTTTTGTCCCTACCACCAGTAGAACCACAATACGTGCGGAAAGAAGCCTGAGTTGCCTGTATCACAGCTTCATAACCACCCCTTCCTTCTCTAAATGTTAGGATAGCTCAGTTTGATAACAAGCTTCTTCTCCCCACTGTGTTATCTGTACCTACTTTCTGTTGAGATAAATCTTTCAAATTAACACTATATCTTTTTTTATATATTTTACCCTGGTGCGGATTGCAGGTGGCAGTGGTTGTTTTGCATGTAGGTATCCTGTCTGTCTTTCGCAGCTGCTGTGGAAAGCGAAGAGGTGGCCCCAAACAGTAATGGGTTCGTCCATCGCTTAGATAGGCTGGAGGGTTTCTCGAGGATCCGCTGCTCTCGCCTGCGACACCAGGCTCCTCCACTGAGAGAAAGAGGCCGACAACAACAGCGTGTAAGGAGTGCCCAACCTGTTCTCTGGCGACCTCTGTGGTGGGACGTCATTAGGGGGTCTAGAGGTGTTAGAACCACTGGGTGGCACTGCGACATGTACTGTCGGGTAATGGCAGAAATTAAAATCTTACGACGGATATTATACATTTTGGGCAGCATGAAGAGATAGTATTGGAGAACCAGTTGATGGTTTTACAGTCTCTGTGGAGTACAGGTTGGGGGTGAGGGGAGGGAGGTAACCAAACAGGAAGGAGATAGAGTTGTCTTTAGTTTATTTTTTTATTTCTTAACTGGCTAATAAATGTTAATCAGATAAAAATATTCACTGTTGTCTCTACGCAAAATCTTAGTCTTTCTTTTTAAGCGAACATTTGAGCGGTTATAACAGACCGTATTTTTTATTAGTTTTTCCCGCCTCTTGGTTATCATGCAAGATCTTGTCCTGGTGTGGTTGGTATCATGGCAGGTAATCGTGGTGAACATGAAGAGTGGGGCGCCCAGTTAAGTCAGCCACTGTTAGTAGTTTGTATAGCATGGTAAGTAACATATATGAGGGATGTAGCGTGTGGGGTGGCAGTGATGTAGACCGATCAAGTATTCAGTTGGATCTCCTGGGTCTCTTTAGGATTATGAAGCACTATTGAATTGACACAAGAATTGTTATATGTTACCAGTAATAGTTGCGTTATTTAGGGTGTTGCAGTAGGAGGTGGAACAGGTTAAGACAGAATTAAGACAAATGAATGAACCTCCCTCAGCAGAGTAACAAATGCACTGGTCTTGCAGTAGCATGAGGAAAGGTTTTAGTAGCTCGACTGGAGATTGTTCCTGAATGGGGTTCTCTATAAAAGAAGCTAGGTGCTGATATGTCAGAAGTTGCAGATCAGAATCAGAAAGTCCTTTAATAAATCCCAGGGGGAAATTACTTTTAATCCCAAGGGGGAAGATGTAATGTTAATCCCAGGGGGAAATTACTTAATGTCTTTTTACAGTGTCAGGTTCTAGATAAATGAGAGTGACAGACTTTTAATTATTTTTATGTTTAATTAAGAGTTTATTGTTTCCTGATACATTACATACAACATCAACTTAAGCAGACTGATACATTCTAAAATTATAAAGTCTCTGTAATGTGTACTGTACAACAATTCTGTCTTGTTATATAGTTTACTGATGTATGTATGGTTTTGTACTGAAACCTCTATGTATATTTTTTTTATCCGAAATACAACATAAAAAGAGCACACATTTCATGTAAGTTTGAATTTTATTCTAAATTATTTAAAAAAAATTCAACATGGAGGGTCATACTTGACCTTGGGAACACACAGACAGTGATAAAAGTGTAAACTCAAGGTTGAAAAGAGACATGAAAAAACTTTGCTGCCACATTACAGGTTTTGTTTGTATTCATATATATTTAATCGATTAAATTAATTAAATCATCTGACTAGTTGATATACAGATATGTTTTGTGCAGACCTACTGTATACTTTTTTATTTAAGCAAGAGAATCTGCTGCTTTTCTTGAAAACTGAAAAAGTGTAGTTATGGTGTGACTTGAAATCCATTTTTATTTGTTTTTGTGGGGGGGGGGTATTTTACAATACAGCTGTTGCTGTTATTTAACAAATAACTCATAGGGCTCTTGGGGTCACTTTACCCATCAAATGTTTCTTTGTATTGTTCTCAGGCTTTAATAAAATGATGTAGCACTTGGGTAAAAAAATACAAAACAGCATTCCATAACTGGAGGCCAGAATAGCAAAAATCTCCACAGCAACAGTGAATTTCCCAGGAGAGCTGGCATATGCTGGAATAAAAGTGATCCAGACTGCACAGAATATCAGCATGCTGAAGGTGATAAACTTGGCTTCATTGAAATTATCAGGCAGTTTCCGAGCCAGAAAAGCAAGAACAAAACATAGGATAGCAAGGAGTCCTATGTAACCTAACACAGCCCAGAACCCTATAGGTGATCCTAACGCACACTCTAGTATAATCTTGTCTTTATAATGTTTCATATTTTTGAAGGGAAAGGGAGGGTTGATTGTCAGCCAAAGTATGCAAATCAAAACCTGTATTACAGTGAAAGTCAGAACACTGAGCCTCTGCTGTGCAGGCCCAAACCATTTCATCATATTACTACCTGGAAAGTGTGGCCCCTGAAGGCCATTAAAACACTATTGTTTTCCCAACACAAGAATGCAAGGACAAGGGATGCCCGAATGCATGTGTCGCAGCTGCAGGACCCCTCAGAGGCCGACCGATGAAGGTCAGAGAACACAGGAAACACAGAGTCAATGAGAAGAGCAGCAGGAAGCTCAGCTCAGAGTTGTTGGCCCTGACAATAGGAGTCTGTCTGAAGTGAAAAAATATCAAGGCTATAGTCATCGCCAGGCAGGCACCGAAGACAGAAAAGGTGACCAACAGTATACCCATCAGTTCCCTGAAGGTGAGGAACTCCATTGCTTTCAAGTCACAGCTATTCCTCTCTTCGTTGGACTTGTACTCGGGAGGACATTTTTCACATTTCACTGCATCTGAAAGCATAAATATGTTTAGGCTGTACAGCACACACATCTTCAGATAGACCAGTAAAGTGCTGACAGTGATTTTGCCCAACAGAAACACGATGAGAGCTAAAGTAAAGGCTAGGAATCCTGCTGTCTCACTTGTACTGTTGCTGAACTTGCCGTCAGCACAGGTGATGCAGTCAAAACAGCAGATAGGTTTGCCCTTGACAAAAGCCCGTCTGGTCCCTGGTAAACAGCTCTCACTGCAAACAGACCTTGGCACCTACATCCCAGTGACAATATTAAAAAACATATTTATAACAACTTCCAGTCCCATAATGCTGTTAATATGGTAATAAACTCAACAATTTGTGAATTAGTATTTCGAAATATTTACTTAGTGATCAAGAGTGTCAAAGATACATTTTTAAAGATAAAAAGAAAGGAATGTGCAAAATCAGATTTTAAAAAGGCTGTCTACACTTCCTTACCTCAAGATTCTCTCCTGCCCAGATGGCGCTCACACCTCCTTTCATCTGAAACTGCTGACCCTCAGGCCGGGAGGCATCATAGTAGCCAATGGTCTCAAAGAGTATGTAACCTGTCTCATCCATCTGCCAATTTACCAGTGCATAACGCGCCACAGGGTCCCCCAACTCATCAAAGAACACATTTTCATCTATCTTAGTGGTGAAGTTGACCTTTGTTAGGTAATGCAGCACCTGCAGGGGAACAGTGATATTGTTATATATCATTGACATATACAGTGGTTTTAATTTAGGCACAGAATTTTTTATGTTTACCTGCCATGGTTGTACATTCTCCCTATCAGCACAAGTATTGTTCTCAAAAGGCCCCTGTCCATCTTTGCAAGTGAATAGCATGTGCAATGCATGAGCGACAGCATATGTGGCCTTGTAAACATTATTCAGCAGACTGGCATCTGAAACATCTGTGAAGCGTGTGTTTGTGTCCCACAGAGACTCCTTCCCAGTGCAGGCTGCAACTGAACCCTGAGCTCGGGCCTCTCCTTGGGGAGTCAGGGTGCAGCTGAACACAGTCTCCCACAGCTCCACCAGTCCTTGGTCTCCCGGTGTGGTGGAGGGCCTGCTGTTAGCCAGGAACTCCTGCAGTCCAGGGATGTGTGCATTGAGTGCTGCAAAGCCTACTGCCCCCTGGACCACAGCGTAGTTGACTGGAGAGGCAATATAGCGATATGTGATCCAGCCCTCACTGCCCACCCACTGCAATCCTGTCACATTCTGAGAATGAAGCTCCTTGATAAGTATGTCAAGGTCTGTGCCATCAGCAAATGCCACTATTACTCTAGAGGTGGATTTCTTTATTATGTCCACTACCTCTAAGAACCACTTCCTGGGATCAGTTCTGTAAATAGCCACTGAGTACTCAACACACACACCTTCCCTTTCTGCTGCTTCCAGGAAAGTGGCCATGCCGCCATTCCCATAGTCACTATTAGTTCTGATAGCTCCTACCCATGTCCAGCCAAAGTGTTTCACCAGCTTTGCTAAGGCTTGGCTCTGATAAATGTCACTAGGTATGGTTCTGAAAAAAGAGGGATAGTCTCTTCTGTTGCTAAAACATGCACAAGTGGCTGAATGACTGATCTGAAACACAAGTAAAAGCGAGAAATAGCTCATTTTGAGATGTCCTTGATACCTAATATTAATAACACATAATAAAATATGTTCACATATCATATTACTTCTCATTCAACAACACAAATTTACTTGACAGTTCATGGGTGCAGAGAGTGTGCATGCCCGCAACACTCACCACAGGTATATGGAAGGGTCCCATGGTGCGTGCAATACCTATTGTAGAGGTGGATGTGGTTTCACCTATGACAGCATGCACATTGGAGAGCTTATTACAGCTGTCTTCTCCACTCTCATACCTATTCATCAGGTTTAGCGATGCCCTGATGGACAGAGGGATACTGGGGCAGGAGTCAAAGATCCTGTAACCCAGTGTCACTCCTGGCAGAAGCTCTGAGCTGTTGTTGATCTCCTCAATGGCAAACATCATAGTGTACGCATACTGAAGCTCACCTGGGTCGAGTCTGGAAAAAGGAGAGGGACCAAATTGTACAATTTGTGAAAAGTAAAACATGTAAAAAAATACATAAACTTAAAACAGGAATAAACAACACATATTGGTAACTGTAATACATTTTTTCTATCCCTCTCTTACCCTTCACACTGGATTGTTCCTGGGTTGACCTGAAGAGCTGGATCAACAGTGACTGGATTCTGATGGAAGGAGAAAATGCCTCCAATGTTGATGTCTCCCTCCTTAGAAAACTGAGACTGTTCTTTTGTCCCATATGTTTGACACATAGGCTTCCCTCCTCTGATAACCAGAAGGAAAAGTAGCATATCCGCTATCAGCAGCATAGTTGTTCACCTCAATATTTACCACCCCAGGCCCAAAGATAAAACCTAAAGTCTCACCATTTTATAGGGTTTAAGTATGACGAGGCCATAGGGCACCATATGTACATATTGTGTTTCTCTCCACCAATGACAGTGCTTGTGGTGTGACTGACAGATAGTTGGGCCTATTAGAGGGTTTTTAGCATAACTTATTCCTAATGGTAAGAATTTCAGAAACCCGAGCCTGTCTGTAGTGATATCTGAGATGTTATTGTGTTCTGTATATTATATTTCGGTTTAGAATTTTAATTTCACACTAAATGGTGAAAAATAAATGAGCCAACATGTGAAGGAGAGAATTTTGTTCTCAAATTAGGCAAAACTATTCCATTACTCATTGTTACATTCAACAAGGAGCTGAACTTTATTTTCAGTTATGTCACAAGGAAATCATTCTGTGGAAAATAGCTGGAATTAAACCATATCTCAAACAGAAAGATGCTGATGTTCAATTCATAGCCTTTAATGAAAGAAATAAAAATTAGCAATAATTAATAATTATTAATTAATAAAAATAGCAACAGTTTAGTGTTTAGTGTTGTTACTATTCTGCATACTCATCTATGGCAATTTTCAGTGATTTCTCCCCATCATGTGTTTTTTAGTATTTTTCTCTGGTTTTAATAGTAAAATATAACATTTTGGAGCAAAGATACAGAAAAGTAAACCAAAACTTGATGCCAGAATAGCAAATATCTCTACAGCTACAGTGAACTTCCCAGGAGAGCTGACATACGCTGGGATAAAAGTGATCCAGACTGCACAGAATATCAGCATGCTAAATGTGATGAATTTGGCTTCATTGAAATTATCAGGCAGTTTCCGAGCCAGAAAAGCAAGAATAAAACATAACATGGCCAGAAGTCCTATGTACCCAAGTACAGCCCAGAACCCTATAGGCGAACCTAAATCACACTCTAGAATAATCCTTTCAGTGGCATGAGTAGTGTTTTTGTAAGGGAATGGCGGGGCAAGAGTTAACCAGAGCACACAAACTAAGACCTGCATTAAAGTACAGCTGAGAACACTTGACCTCTGAAGTGGAGCAGAACACTGAGGAACTGTGTTTGCTGGCCTTTTAGCCTTAAAGGCAGTCACCACTGCTACGGTTTTAGCCAAGATACAAGACATGCATAAGGCAAAGGTGATGCCAAAAGCTGTGTGGCGCAGCATGCAGGACCACTCAGTGGGCCGGCCTATGAAGGTCAGAGAACATAAGAAACACAGAGTCAGGGAGAAGAGCAGCAGGAAGCTCAGTTCAGAGTTGTTGGCCCTGACAAGAGGAGTGTGACGAAACCGAAAGAAGACACATGACACCACCAGTGTTAAACATGCTCCAAACAATGAGAAAGCAGTGAGGAGGGCCCCCATGGTTTCTCCATAAGATAGGAACTCGATCACCTTTGGAACACACTGGCTGTGATCTTCATTTGACCAGTACTCCAGTGGACACCGTGAGCACTCTGCAGAATCTGAACAGAAAAACATGAAACACTGAAATGGGTTCATGCTGTAAGCTGCAAGTTATGAGAGCAGAGCTCAGTAAACATTAACAAAATTATCATTGAAATAAACACTGGCTGTATTTAGTGACTTATAGGTGAGACACTGGAAAACACTGATTTGTAGAAATATTACATTATAAATTACAGTTAAACAGTAAAGATTCCACTTACTACTGGAGTTGCTGATGTCTCCAGCAGCACAGGTGATGCAGGAGAAACAGCAGATGGGTTTTCCTTTAATCACAGCCTGCCGGAATCCTGGCAGACAACTCTCACTGCAGACAGACTGTGGCCTCTGTAACAACACCACAACTCATCTGGTACTTGTAGTTTGTTGCTCCCATAATACAAATACTTAATTTAATTGGTTTATTATAATCAGCATTTGGGTGATGTATAAAAAACTATAGTTTAGGCATTATACCTTGATCTTACACATCAGTCTACATCCAAAATAAAATTCCTACTACTATGTACAATATTCACACACACACATGTGTATATATATAGTGTGGTATATAACAATTTGATACCTGTGGGGATTCGGCAGCCCATGTTATGTTTATTCCATTCATGGTAAACTGCTTTCCATTCGGTAGTGAAGCATCGTAGCTCCCTACAGCTACAAACACAGTATCTCCTGCTTGGTTTTTCTGCCAGTTCACCAGCTCATAGGTCGCTGCAGGGTCTCCATTTCTATCAAAATACACTCTTTCTCCTGATGGCAGAGTGAAATTCACATCTTGGAGGTGCTTCACAACCTACAAATAGATAACAGTGGTGAATAACTTAAAGTATTCAAATTATCTACATAATTAATGAACGCAACCTCTTACCTGTTTTGGCTCAAAATCACCTTTCCAGATACATGACTGATTCATCACTTCACCACTTTGTCCACATTTTAACATTTTATGCATGGCATGAGCCACAGCATGCACAGCCTTATACACATTGTTAGATATCCTCAGCTCTGACACATCTGTGAAAGCATTGTTGATGTCCTGTAGTCTCTCAGAGCCAGAGCACTGGGTCTGACCATGCAAGCTGGATTGGAAACTGCAACCAAAGGTGGCTTCCCAGAACTCTCTCAGCAGATTATTTTGAGGGTCCTGACTTGGGTTAACCTGCAACAGAAACTCTTGCAGGCCTGTGATCTTTGTTTTTCTGATGGTGAAGCCCAGAGACCCTGTCAGGATTCCTGAGTACCTCTTAATGGCCAGATGACTTGCTGTAATCCAGGACTCACTGCCCACCCACTGCAGCCCAGTCAAGTTCTGTTTCAGAGCTTCCTCAAGCAAAATGTCCATCTCGCTCTGGGCAAGGAAGGCAACTAAAACCCTTGCACTTCCGCTCTGGATCACTCTGACCACCCTGGCAACTTGTTCACTGGGGTCAGTCCTTGAGATGGCCTCTGAGTATTCAACACAGACTCCCTCCTGACTTGCAGCTGTGATAAATGTTGCCAGGCCATTGTTACCATAGTCATTGTCACTCCTAACAGCCCCAACCCATGTCCAGCCAAAGTGTTTCACAAGTTTTGCCAAGGCTCGGCTCTGATAGTAGTCACTAGGGATGGTTCTGAAGAAGGAGGGGTACTCCTTTCTGTTACTCAGACAGGCACAAGTGGCAAAGTGGCTGATCTAAGAGAAAAGAAAAGGAGAGAAACAAAAACACTTGACAGAATGGGGATCAAATATTGTTTGACTTAAGATATGACTTTTGACTAAATCTGCTGCATCTGTGCAAACTTAATCCTGACCACATAGCCCTAAGAATAACTTTGTTCTAGTATCTTTTCTGTCATTTTATAGCAAACTGATTATTAGTTCTGGAGTGTCCAAATAAAGTGTGATTAAGCCTTTTGGAAAAAGGAACGAAGTGGAATAAATCAAAAAAGAAGCACAAATATGAATCTTTACCACTGGTATCTGGAAAATCCCTGAAATTTGTAGCATCACAATGGTTGAGGAGGACTCAGAGGCTCCAATGATGGCATGAACAGATGACGGGCTGGAGCAGGTTTTTTCCAAAGTCCTTTCCGGTCCATTCATTAGACCCATCACTGCACGCGTTGAAGGCAGTGTTGAACCACAGCTATCAAATACCTTATAACCAATTGAGATATTAGGCAGCAGAGAGCTGCTATTGTTGATCTCCTCAATGGCAAAAATCATTGTTTGGACAAAACGAAATTCTCTGAAATTTATCCTGAAAAGAATAAGTAATGCTTTCAAATTGATGTGTCTTTTTTCCATTTACAAACCATCAATGTCAAAGACAACAAACAGTACCTGGAACATATGAGATGCTCTGGAGTATCTGTAAAGGAGAGCGGAGGCTTTGAAATTTGGCTGTGGATGGAAAAAGCTCCTCCAATACTGATATCTCCTTCCTTAGATAGCAAAGGAAACTCTGAGCTGCCCAGCATCTCACAGAGCGCTGTGTCTTCCTCTGCTCCAAAGGCTCCCATAAAAAGCAAAAACAGTAACATTACATAGATACAGCCACACATCTGGTACAACAGGCACACACAAACCTGTTCTCTGTGATGAGTTCTTCTATGACTAAATGAAACCTGTGTCACCTCTAATGGGCAGCGCTTTATACTTCTGCGAATGATGACGATTGAAGTCCTGTTATCAAATCACTGTCTGATGATGTCACATTTTCTGTTTTTCATTTGAGATGGTATAATCTGATTTTAGATAATTATGTTATTATTACAATAAATTGTAAAAGAAATTGTAGAAAGATGTGATCTGGGGTAGTACAAAGCATTTGGACATATTTTTTATTGCAAATTGAGTTATTAGATGTTTGTGTAGAAGATAGATATTATTCTATTAGCAGTTTAGTTTGTTTGGGGCAGTAAACAGTACACACAATTACGTACAATGCCAATGTTTGGTGTCAGACTTGGAGTGTCGATTCTGTTAACCCTTTATCGGGAAAGGAACCATATATGGTAACTTCCTTTATGATGATTGAAGGTGATTTTATTACACTTCTATGGCCTATTTTGGTGGGGTTTTCTATAGGTGAAATATTAATATACACTTCACTGTTACGGCTTTTTTTCACAAATAACTCAAAGTGGGCTTGATCTTGATTTGCTTATGGCTTATTTATTACATATTTTCATAGTATATTGATGTGGCATATTTCTTTTGCAGTAGCTGTCTGCTCAGTCCTTCTGTGGGAAGAGGAGGCCTGCTGGACCACGGATTGTTGTTGTGCCAGCCCACCTAGACATCATTGACTTTGATTTGCAGCCTAAAACTGAAACTTTTTAAAAAAGAAAAAGAAAAAATGTCTTCTTATATCCACCAATAACACTTAAAATGTCCAAGTATTTCAATGAGTGCCCTATAAAGGGTTAAAGACAGCAAGTGGTTTGTTCTTTTTTAACAGGGGGATGGCCATAACCTTAGCCTAACACCACACAACCATTCCATCAAATATATGCCTATAGTAAAAACTATATCTGTAGTTGTGTCTCCCCTAAAATGTTTGTTACAGAGGTGGAGGCCTACCAGGGGGCCTTTCAAATCTCAGGCTGCACATCAATGCTTACAATTTGAGGGCTTCCGGGCCCCTTAGTGTTTAAAATGTGTGCTCACCACTAAGGCCCCTCAGACCCATTGATGCTTACAATGTGAGGGTTTAAAATGTGAATTAACCACTTGGGCCCTCGTACCTCACAGTGCTTACAGTGCAAGGGCCTCCAGGCTCCTTGGTGTTTAAAGAGTGAGCTGACTACTACAGCCCCTGGGCGACTGGAGTTTCAAGTGTAATTTGACCCCTAGGGCCCCTCGGCTCCTACAGTGTGAAGGTTGACCACTAGGGTCCAGAGGCCATTTGGTGCATACATCGAGAGTAACACCTGGGCCCCTTGGTACAGATTAGGGTTGCATTGGTCTGAAAATTCAATTGTGGGGGTCCACCCAAAAGACATGTTCCCAGGAGCCTCACAGGACCATAATCTGACCCTGGCACAGATGCTACTGAATGATCATCGAAATATGAAAGTGACACTAGTGTATAGAGTATAGCATCCACCCTAAAATGATCTACTGGTTACAGACATTAATGTTTATATTTTTGTTAATATTATTCAGCATATTCTCCAAACCTCAACTAAATGATTTGGTTGCTTAACCGTAACCACAATTTCACCACACTTTATTTTCCTTAACTTTAACCATATAATAGTTTTGTACCTTAATGTGATCAAGATGATCCTGTATGATTTAGGTTCTTCAATGTACATATTAAAGAAGTAGTTTCAGTAGAACAGCTGGAATTAAAGTATGCTAATGTGCTAAATGTTAAAAATCAGCATGCATTGTTAGCATGCATGTTAATGTGTAGGGCTGCTAGCTCAAGGCACAGCTGAGTCTAAGTATATCTGACCTGAATGAAGTACATGAAATAAAGCCTAGACTGCTGTAATTTTAGTTGAGTAGTTCTAAACCAAACAAGCCTGTTCAGAAAACCTAATTAAGCACTGTCCAGAAGATAAATACTTTGATTTAAGTAGAACAAGGCCTTTCCTCTGCTCTTAGACTGCACCCTATTAAAAATATTAAAGTTGTGACTCAAATTTTCAACCAGCCAGCTTTTTTTATTTATTGGTGTGTACATAATATTGCAGACTTAAGTCTAGCTGTGCTATGTTGGAAAGAAACCCTCAATATTTGCTCAGTAAATAATATTATAAAAATATTATGACACATGCTTCTTTGTGAATTGTAGGTCACCAGTTCAATCCAAAGACCACCAGTGTGCCCATGAGAAAGGCCTTTAACTCCCAACTTGCTTCATTGGAGATATGCAGGGGCCAACAGATTAGATTGTTTTTGTAATGGCCAAATTAGAGGTGGGAATGCTAATTCATTAAGTGTGCATGTTAAAATTAAGAGACAGGAAGTCATCGATAGTTTTAAATATTTTTTATTCATATGAAATAAAACAAAGATTAATACTGTGCATCCTCAGTTTAATTATCAACCAAAGTCATTGTAAAAGAAAAGTATTATTGATACCAATATTAAAAGATTTTTGGAATGTAAATGTTTTTTAACTGTATTGTAGACCAGATAGGTAGGATTCAATACATAATGAAATTATCTAAAATGAAAATGTAAGCATTTAACATAACAACAATAACATGTTCAATTGAAAACATTTTGTTGCTTTGTTGTTTTTATCTCAATTTTGAAAGGGGAAAGGTAAAAAAATTCCATATGTAAATGAATAGTATTCACAGCCACAGATTGTGAAATGTAGTAAAATATATACTGTCATTTCCTCAAAATTTTATATATAGATTTATTTGTATTGCATTTTCCCCATCAGATATTTCTTTGTGTTTAGTTCAGGTTTGAGTACAATAATAAAGCATTTTGGTGCAAATATACAGAAAAGTATTCCATAACTGGAGGCTAAAATAGCAAATATCTCCACAGCCACAGTGAACTTCCCAGGAGAGCTGACATATGCTGGGATAAAAGTGATCCACACTGCACAGAAAATCAGCATGCTGAAGGTGATAAATTTAGCTTCATTGAAATTATCGGGTAACTTTCGAGCCAAAAAAGCAAGTATAAAACATAGGACAGCAAGGAGTCCTATGTAACCTAACACAGCCCAGAACCCCACAGGTGAACCCAGGGCACACTCTAGTATAATCCTGTCTTTATAGAGTTTCATATTTTTGAAGGGAAAAGGAGGGTTGATTGTCAGCCAAAGTATGCAAATTATAACCTGTATGAGAGTAAAGCCCAGAACACTGAGTCTCTGCTGTGCAGGCCCAAACCATTTCATCACATTAGTGCCTGGAAGTGTCGCTTTAAAGGCCATTAACACCACTATTGTTTTTCCAAGAATACAAGAGATACAGAGGACAAAGGTGATGCCGAATGCTGTGTGTCGCAGCATGCAGGACCACTCAGAGGGTGCTCCAATGAAAGTTAATGAACATAAGAAACACAGAGTCAATGAGAAGAGCAGCAAGAAGCTCAACTCAGAGTTGTTGGCCTTCACCAAGGGAGTATCCTTATTGATCAAGAATAGAGTGGCCACAGTTAAAGTAAGGAAAACACCAAACAAAGTGAAAAATACAAGTATTATACCCATAACCTCAGTGAAGTAGAGGAACTCGACATTTTTGAGTACACATGCATCTCTGTTTTGATTGGACCAATACTCTTCAGGACATTTACTGCAGTCATTAGAATCTGTAACAGAAATATTGTCAATATTATTGTAATTTAATTAGCTACATCCTAAAAACATGAATAAGAGACAGCAGCATAGCGAACCTTAACATGATACACAGAGCGTGGCAAGCAAACAATGTATGCAAGTTGCCATATCCCTGGTCTGTTGTACATATACCTGTGCTGTTGCTGATTTCTCCCTCTGCACATGGTATGCAGTCAAAGCAGCAGACTGGCTTTCCTTTCTGAAGGACTTTGTGAGTTCCTGGACGACAGCTCTCACTGCACACTGACACAGGCAACTTTAAATAAAAGAAAATGACAGTTAGGGTTAGGGTTTTAAGCCATAATTCAAGATAAAATATTGTCAAACTGCATTGCTGAGGCAAACCGTAGCATTACATAAATGTAGGTTTTATTGTCAATTATATTTGCCTCTGTCTTTCCTCCAGGCCAGATTATGGCTTCTGTCTTGAGAACAAACTTCTGTCCAGGAGGTAGGGAGGCGTCATAGTAGCCAACAGGTTTAAACTGGACTGAGCGATCTGATCCATGCTGCCAGTTCACCACCTCATACCGAGCCACAGCTGCTCCAGTGCTATCAAATGACACCTGGTCCCCATTTTTAATGGTAAAATTCACTTGATTCAAAGATTCCACTACCTAAAATGCATTAAGATAATATCTCAAAATATATATTTACAGAAATAAAAAATGCACATTTTAGTAATCAGTTATTTTTACCTGCCAGGGAGAAACCTTTGCAGTCTTGTCACACCCCTGACTTTTGGAGCACTTTAGGATGCTGTGCAGAGAATGAGCCACAGCATAGATGGCTTTGTAGATGTTGCTGGAGTATCTCAACTCTGCCACATCATCATCATAATCTTTAAGCTCAATTAGATCCTGTTTTTCTCTGCAAGTTTCTGTCATCGTGTCCTGGTTTGTCTCCTTGCACTCAGACTCTGTCTCCCAGAAATCTTTGATCAAAAAATCATCCAGGCCACTGATATTGGCCTTTTGTACAGCAAAGCCCAGTGAACCTCCCAGAACACTAAAGCTGGTGGGAGTCACAAGGCTGTCAGCAGTGATCCAGGCCTCCACACCAATAAACTGCAGGCCTGTGATGTTGTGGTGACTCAACTGCTGTAGAAGGTTGTTCATCTCTACATGGGCCAGGAAACCAACAATGACCCGGGCAGTGCTCTTTCTGATCACTTCTACCACTTTCATGAGTTTTTCTGGTTCTGCCCTGTGAAATTTCTCTGTATACTCAACACACACTCCTTCCTCCTGAGCTGCAGCAAGGAAGATGGCCATGCCATTGTTGCCATAGTCACTGTCGCTGTTGACTGCCCCGACCCAAGTCCAGCCAAAATGCTTGACCAGCTGGGCGAGGGCTCGGCTTTGGTAGAGGTCGCTGGCAATGGTTCGGAAGAAAGAAGGATACTCTTTCCTGTTGCTTAAACACTCACAAGTAGCTGAATGACTTATCTGAGAATACACAACGAGAAAGGCAAAATAAGGAGAGTTTGCATATAATATACACATTGATACACATAGACTGCCCTCTTACCACTGGTATTTTGAATGGTCCAGTAGTGCGTGAAAGCACAATGGTTGAAGAGGATTCAGACTCCCCAATAATAGCATGAACAGCTGATTGACCAGTACAGCTCTTTCCCACACTCCACTCATCACCGTTCATTAGGGCCATCACTGCGCGCATTGACGTTAATGTTGAGCCACAGTTGTCATAAATACGGTATCCGATAGAAACATTGGGAAGAAGAAATTCACTTTTGTTTATTTCCTCAATTGCAAAGATCATGGTCTGGGCAAATCGAAACTCCCTGGGGTTGACACTGACACAAAAAAGGCAAAATTAAAAACTTGCATTTACTGTGACAAAATATATAATATTTTTAAATAGTGGTCAAATTACCTGGAACAAATGAGACGTGTTGGTTTTTCTGTAAAAGAAAGTGGAGGTTGAGTGATTTTGCTGTGGATGGAAAAGGCTCCACCAATCATGACATCTCCCTTTTTAGACAGCAGAGAGAACTCTGAATTCCCCAGTATCTGACAGAAAGCAGCTTCCTCCTCCGCTGCTCCAAATGCTAACAGGAGCCCTATGAAAACCAGCCAGGTTATCACTTGTGACATTTTCGACTGTCATCTGCTAATGGGGCAGAGCCACCCAGTCAGATCAGAACCAATGCAGTCTTAAATGTGACATTTTATAATATTAGTTGATGACAGGGCTCATTTGCATCTTACTGACCAATCAGAGTTAAGTAAAATAGGGCAGTCCTAATGGTATCTTCCCATGAAATTATCCAATAATCCAATATAGTTTAAAATTATAATAACAGCCTGAAAGGGGGCATCCTCGATAATAAATACTTTTACTTCTGTACTTTGAAGCAGCATTATGCAAGAATTTGTATTTTTTGCAGCTTGTTTCAAAGTGCAATTCACTTTTACACCGCTGTATCGAGGGGATTTACATCGGCCATGAATCTGACCTGGATCATGTTTTATGGAGAAAATTGAGTTTCCTGAGAGCTTTACTTGTTGCTTCAGTAACAGCTAATTCCTGCTAGTCTATGTGACCATAGACTGTATAATTAAAAATGAACATCGTCCATAGGTTTCTAAAGAGCCTGTGTGGTCAGCTCTGGCCGTTGCCATCTTGGCAGTCCTGACTCCGCCAGCTCCTTACTAATCAAAAAATGGGCAAATACATGTAGCTGAGGCAGTCTGAATGAAGCCTGAAAACAACCAGCTGTGACGGCACGAACCTGTCACTCAAATCAGCCACGCCATTTAATTAAGCATAACCTAAAGCTTTGTCATAAATGGGGAATTTAGCTATAAAGACTGAAAATGTCATAAACAGGTTGATTTCTGCTATAAAGTTGAGCATTTTATTATGGGGCCTTATGAATATTGACTCACTTCTGTAGCCAACCTCAAGTGGCCGTCTTGTAACTTCCGCGTTGGCTTCATTGGCCAGCCGTGGAGGTTGCCACCTGTGTGTGACATAGTGCTGTAAAGCGCTACGGACTTTCCCGAAGCAAATTGTACTCGCTCAGTCCAAGTTACAAAGTGAAAGAGCAGACGTTGGGGGCCAAGCGTAAATGAATGAGGCACAATTCTCCCAGTTACTATCAGTGTGCCATAAAAATAATTTTGTTATTTTATTAGAAGGTAAACTTATTGCTAAATGTTGCTTTAAAGGACCAGTGAATAGAATTTAGTGGTATTACGCAGTGAAATTGCAAATTGCAGCCAACTAAATACAACTCGCAAAAAATGCAAAAGGCCCTACATAGATGCAGTGTTTTTCCATTCTGGGCTACTGTAGAAACATGGCAGTGCAACATGGTGGAC